TGGCTTATTTCACTTAGCACAATGCCTTCTAATTTCATACCTGTTGTTGCTGCAAATAACAGGATTTCTTTCTTTTTCAAAGGCTGAATAATTTTCCATATATCAAATGCATATATATATAATTCCACATACCAAATTATAGTTATATAACTATATATATATATATAACTATATATATAATTTTCTTTGTCCATTTATCTGTCATGGACATTTAGGTTGTTTCTATACCTTGGGCATTATAAATAATACTACTATGAACATGAGAGTTTAGATACCTCTTGGAGATGATGATTTTGTTTCCTTTGGATAAATAGCCAGAAGTGGAATTGCTGGATCATGTAGTATTTCTATTTTTAATTTCTTGAGAACCCCCCATACTGTTTTCCATAATGGGTGTACCAGTTCACATTTCCACCAATAGTGTACAAAGGTTCCCTTTTCTCTATATCCTGATTAGCATTTGTTATCTCTTGTCTTTTGATAATAAACATGAGTGAGGTGACATCTCATTGTGGTTTGATTTGCATTTCCCTGATGATTAATGATGTTGAGCGCATTTTCATGTCTTTTTTGGCCATTTGTATGTTTTCTTAAATAAATGTGCATTTAGGTTCTTTGCCCATTTTTAACTTGGGTTGTTTGTTTTGCTATTGAGTTGTTTGGGTTCCTAGTATATTTTGGGATTTAACCTCTTATTGGATATGATTTGCAAATCTCCAATTCCATAGGCTGCCTTTTAATTTTGTTGATGGTTTCCTTTGCTGTGCAGAAGCTTTTTAGTTTGAGGAAATCCCACTTGTTTATTTTTGCTTTTGTTGCCTTTGGTTTTGGTGTCAAATCGAAAAAATTCATTGCCAAGGCTGATGTCAAACAGCTTACCCCCTGTATTTTCTGTAGCTGACTCAGGCTGAGAAGGCTGAAGCAGTGTGAGGTGGTAGGATTGAGGTGCCTTGTGGCATCAGCCTGTCCTACCAGCAATTGTTAGGGCAAGGGCTATGTGAGTATTATCTCAGGACCATAAGTGTACCTCTTCTATGAGCAAAAGTGCCAGGGGACTGTGGATAAATGGTCTGGAGGAGTGTTCATTTCTGCACAAGAGGACTTTTGCCAAAGGATAAGGGGAGACCGATAGGGAAGCGAGTGGAGGGTGAACTTTCAAAGAAACAAACTGAGAAGCATTAGGTGTAGCAGCCTAGGGAACACCTGCATCTTAGGAAAGGCCTGTGTGAGAGTTCTTGAGAGAAGAGTCAGCTTGAACACAACTCTCAGCCAGGCTGAGACTTGAAGCTGATTTAGGTTGGTATGGATCCAATTAAGACTATCCCCGTCCTCTCTCTGCTCTTACCCTAGATACTTGGAACCTGGCTGTTAAAGTGATGAGAAGGAGCAACTATAGGCACAGAAACAGAGAGAGCCACTCACACCCACCTTTCCCATTGATGCCTTTCAGCCTGAAGCAGACCTGAGCTGTGGAAGGCGAGAGCTGACATTAAATCAAGTAGCAGAGTGATTTGATTAATATCTTGGATTGGGCATTCTAAGTTTGAGTTGAGACTGGATTTGTGGTTTTTAATGAAAGCAGGACTATCTGATACCTAAGAGTGAGCAGAAAAGCTTGTTGGGGCTTGCATTTAGGGGAGGGAGTGTTATCTCCACTGAATAATATTTAAAGAACATTGAGAAGAAAACCAAAGGTGTTATTACAGTATTTGTTGTGCTTGTCCAGTGTATTGGCTACATTGTTGTTGTTATGGAAAGGTGACCTTCAGATTCAGTATTACACAACATCTTCATTCTTATTTGATAACCCTCTGTATATTTCTGGCCTATAACAAATGTCCCTATACCACAATTCAATTCGCTCAGTTGTTTAGGAGGGCATTTAGTAACCAGGTTTGCCAAAATGCTTATCAAAAATTTTTTTTGCTCAAAGTTAATGTTCAGTGAGTACTTTACTGAGAAACTTAGATATCTGAGGCTAGAATTGGGTAGCCTGTACCTTAGTAACTTTCTATACTGAAATAATCCAAAATGAGTGATGATGTAGCATTTATCTGTCATGGACATTTAGGTTGTTTCTATACCTTGGGCATTATAAATAATACTACTATGAACATGAGAGTTTAGATACCTCTTGGAGATGATGATTTTGTTTCCTTTGGATAAATAGCCAGAAGTGGAATTGCTGGATCATGTAGTATTTCTATTTTTAATTTCTTGAGAACCCCCCATACTGTTTTCCATAATGGGTGTACCAGTTCACATTTCCACCAATAGTGTACAAAGGTTCCCTTTTCTCTATATCCTGATTAGCATTTGTTATCTCTTGTCTTTTGATAATAAACATGAGTGAGGTGACATCTCATTGTGGTTTGATTTGCATTTCCCTGATGATTAATGATGTTGAGCGCATTTTCATGTCTTTTTTGGCCATTTGTATGTTTTCTTAAATAAATGTGCATTTAGGTTCTTTGCCCATTTTTAACTTGGGTTGTTTGTTTTGCTATTGAGTTGTTTGGGTTCCTAGTATATTTTGGGATTTAACCTCTTATTGGATATGATTTGCAAATCTCCAATTCCATAGGCTGCCTTTTAATTTTGTTGATGGTTTCCTTTGCTGTGCAGAAGCTTTTTAGTTTGAGGAAATCCCACTTGTTTATTTTTGCTTTTGTTGCCTTTGGTTTTGGTGTCAAATCGAAAAAATTCATTGCCAAGGCTGATGTCAAACAGCTTACCCCCTGTATTTTCTGTAGCTGACTCAGGCTGAGAAGGCTGAAGCAGTGTGAGGTGGTAGGATTGAGGTGCCTTGTGGCATCAGCCTGTCCTACCAGCAATTGTTAGGGCAAGGGCTATGTGAGTATTATCTCAGGACCATAAGTGTACCTCTTCTATGAGCAAAAGTGCCAGGGGACTGTGGATAAATGGTCTGGAGGAGTGTTCATTTCTGCACAAGAGGACTTTTGCCAAAGGATAAGGGGAGACCGATAGGGAAGCGAGTGGAGGGTGAACTTTCAAAGAAACAAACTGAGAAGCATTAGGTGTAGCAGCCTAGGGAACACCTGCATCTTAGGAAAGGCCTGTGTGAGAGTTCTTGAGAGAAGAGTCAGCTTGAACACAACTCTCAGCCAGGCTGAGACTTGAAGCTGATTTAGGTTGGTATGGATCCAATTAAGACTATCCCCGTCCTCTCTCTGCTCTTACCCTAGATACTTGGAACCTGGCTGTTAAAGTGATGAGAAGGAGCAACTATAGGCACAGAAACAGAGAGAGCCACTCACACCCACCTTTCCCATTGATGCCTTTCAGCCTGAAGCAGACCTGAGCTGTGGAAGGCGAGAGCTGACATTAAATCAAGTAGCAGAGTGATTTGATTAATATCTTGGATTGGGCATTCTAAGTTTGAGTTGAGACTGGATTTGTGGTTTTTAATGAAAGCAGGACTATCTGATACCTAAGAGTGAGCAGAAAAGCTTGTTGGGGCTTGCATTTAGGGGAGGGAGTGTTATCTCCACTGAATAATATTTAAAGAACATTGAGAAGAAAACCAAAGGTGTTATTACAGTATTTGTTGTGCTTGTCCAGTGTATTGGCTACATTGTTGTTGTTATGGAAAGGTGACCTTCAGATTCAGTATTACACAACATCTTCATTCTTATTTGATAACCCTCTGTATATTTCTGGCCTATAACAAATGTCCCTATACCACAATTCAATTCGCTCAGTTGTTTAGGAGGGCATTTAGTAACCAGGTTTGCCAAAATGCTTATCAAAAATTTTTTTTGCTCAAAGTTAATGTTCAGTGAGTACTTTACTGAGAAACTTAGATATCTGAGGCTAGAATTGGGTAGCCTGTACCTTAGTAACTTTCTATACTGAAATAATCCAAAATGAGTGATGATGTAGCACTTTAGGGACTTGATCTTCCATTTAGGCTTGGCTGACACCAGGGACTAAGCTCTACTTTCCATTAAGATTTGCTTTTGCACTGGGCTGCCTTTCTTCTCAGAGAAGCTGTTTCCTTGCTGGGGAGCAAGAATTTGCCAGTAGCTCCAAACTCCTAGCAGTTAAACAGAAACCAAACCAAACCAACAACAATAACAACCCTTCTTTCTGTCTTCCTGGAGTTCTCTAACACAAGTCCTGGAATTAAGTTTTCTTGGCTCTGCTTGTACCTTCCTCTGCTCAAGGTTGGTACCAGGTCCCTCTGGACCACATGCTCTTAGAGGAGTGATTCTCTGAGAAAAATTGGGGTGCTGTTAGCAGAAGAAGTAAAAAGTCAGGTGACTTAAAAAACTGTATGCAGTCTACTTATTCCTCAGATGCTACAGACTTAACCCTTGAGCAATTAAGCAATACTGCTGGAAAGTTGTATATGCGGATTTCATCATTTTATGCCCTGTGGAACTGCTTATGAAACTGTGCTTGGACATTCTGTTATTACACTGTATTTACAAACAATATAATTAATGAATGAACCTGCAGAATTCCTTATATTATTATAGGATAGATTGGAGGACACTGTTTATTATATTTCACTGTATATAATATTATGGGATTTCATGGGAGAAAATTCTCCCTGGCCTCTGTACCAGGGAGAGATGAACTATTTCTCAACACCTTTTGTGATTTTATCTTATGAACACTGTGTGATTTCTGAAAATGGTTATGTTTCCTTCTCAGCATTGCCAGGATGATACAGTCAATTTTGTGGCTTGTTTTAGTCAGGCATGATAGACCTCAGAGCATAGTTTTTTAGTGCTAACCTTTCTCCTTTATTTTTGTCTTTTATTTCCTTTAAAATGTGATCTCCCAATTCTTTTTCCTTTTTATTCTGCTATACTTCATTTGTAAACTTTCTGAAGTCTTTTCTGAAACAAAGTTTATAAATAAGTAGAATTTGTGAATATTTTACTCAATGAATTGAAACTATCACCACAAAATAAATAAATAAATCTGCTTGGCTTTGGTGGGTAGTTTATTAACAGGACTTTGGATTCTAGTTTTACATGAAGGGATTGTGAAACACTATAGAATCAGAAGACTGGATGAAGGGGGCTTTTTCCTTACCCAGAGAAGAACGTTTTCAACATTGAATGAATTTGTGAACCACTACAGCAAGACAAGTGATGGCTTATGTGTCCAGCTGGGAAAACCATGCTTAAAGGTAAAATGTTTTCAACATTTTACATTCTGTTCATTCACTTTTTAGTTAACTTTTTTCTTCAGATATTGGAGTACTTGTCATATAATATGTCAGTTCAAAAAAAGGAAATTTCATATGATTACTTAAGGCATGGAGAGGCCAACTGTGGCCTATGAGCCAATACTGTCTCACACTTTTTGCAATACTAAATTTAATTAGAACATAGATAAGCTCTTTCAGTTAGAAATTGTCTGTTTTTTTTTGCTGTAAGTGAAATGTGTAGTAGTTGCATGAGAGACTGTATGGGCCACAAAGTCTAAAATATTTACTACCTCATTTTTTTCAGAATAAAGTTTGTTAACCCCTGACCTAAGGTAATCACTGAAAACAAAATATTCATCCTTTGCACTAAGAAATTAATCTGGTATCCTGCCACTAAAGCACTTAATGATATGGCTGGAGGAAAACAACAGTGTCAGAATTTAATTCTTACTTAGATCTTTACTCAAGAATATTAATATGAAATTATCAGGTTCATTATCTGGTTGAGTTTTCTGCATATAGATATTATTTAACTAACTGCTCTACCAGTTGTATTGTTTGGTGTAGACTAGTTGGTGGGAGGAGATAACATTTATAGAAGTTATCAACCTTTATCATTATTCAGTTGCTTGAATATTTTAACTAAATGTACTTAAAGTTATGTAGGGGCCATACACTCTAGTGGAGCAAGCCCTCAGCTCCTGATCAGAGTTCAGGTCTCACGTACTGTTGATGGGATATCAGCTCTGTGATTTACACCTGGATGATCAGTGAAAGCTTCCTGATGACTCCTAATTAGAATTTTATGGACATGTAGAGTTTTATGGATAAACTAAAGAATTTTATATGGTATGTAGGGAATTTTATTGAGTTAAATTGTGCAAATTGAATAAGCAATTTTGTTGTAAGTATGTACATCTTGTATGCTATATGAATGACTCCACAGGAATGTGTACAATCATGCTAACAATAGCTTGCCTAATATAAAGATGGGCTAAAAAGATACCCAGGTTCACCAGTATTACTGTGTTCTTGTGGCAAAAAGTACTTACAAAGAAGCATAGGTGACCTGTGTATTCAAGATGCTGATATCTTGGTGGAGGAGATAAGAAAAATTTCAATGGTAGATTGTAAACTGGACTATCAACTCTAAGAGGGCAGGTTTATAGAATAACACCTGATTGGTGCTTGAAAGGTTTTTATTTACTGAATGAATGAGTAAATGAAAGAATGAACAAATACATAAACAAATTTGAAACAAGATAAAATATGTAATTATGCAATAGTATATGACATGGTAAATGCAAAGGTCAAAAGGTTTGGGAGTAATTATGGGTGGGCTGGAAATTCAAATGGGTCTTGAAACTGGGAGGATTTAGCTAGGCAAACAGGCAGGGAGAAATCATGTCAGAGCCATGCAAGGCCACGTTGGATGCGGGGTGGGACAGAGGGAGAGCGGAGTGCCTGACTTAGCAGGATCCCGGGGAAGACCAGCTGGAAGAGGTGAGGATACAGATTTTGCTACAATTACTTTCCATTTTAAAGTAAGTAGAATACAATACACAATATTTTGTTTTGAAAAATGTCTCTCTTAAAAGTACCCAGACTATTATTTTCAACCAAAAAAATGTTGTTATAACTTATATAACTATAAGTTGCATAACTTTTTTCTTACACATACCCTAATTATTCTGTGAAACAGACACAAGTGCCAGTGCCTTTTGATTTGTCATATAAAACTGTGGACCAGTGGGAGATAGACCGCAACTCTGTGAAGCTGCTGAAGCGATTAGGATCTGGTCAGTTTGGTGAAGTGTGGGAAGGCCTGTGGAACAATACCACGCCGGTAGCAGTGAAAACGTTAAAACCAGGTACAAGAATGAGAATGTCAAAGGCTAAGTGGTATATGTTGATTTTTATAAGCTCAACTTGTTGCTGTAAATATCCAAGAGGTCATGGGACAGCCAATGCAAGCACCAAACAACTGCTGTGATCAGTTTATCTGGCCCCCAGGACCCTAACCTGGGCCCCTGCTTTAGAATGCAAAGATGAGAGCATGCTCCTGGGATCAGCCAAGCCTTAAAATATCCCCTGTGCAAGGTTTCAGCAAGGCTTTTTTTTCTCTGGAGTTAGGATTCAGCCCCCCAGTGCCCTTCCCTTTTTTTCTTAGTTAAAAAATACTGACTTTACTGAAAATAGTTACAGAAAATCAGTAGAATATTCAGAGAGCAACTATTTTATGAAATATTGATTATTTGTGGTTAAAAGATAAAACGTCTATTTAAAATATGCCATATTTGAAAATATAGGAACTATTTTTTCTTCCATCTTCCTTTTTTCTGTAGCAGAAATTAAAAGTATACTAAAGTCAATATTGATTCAACTAAGTATTATTCCCTTCATATTAAAGGTGAGATAAGAGAATTTAGAGAGATTAAGTAACTTTCCTAAGACTTACTAGTTATATGATTTTGAGTAAATTTTTAAATTACTTTATGCCAGAGTTTCATCATTTGCAAAATAGAGATGATAATAAGGCCAACCTAGCAGGGTTATAATGAAGATTAAATTAGGTCATTAATGGAAATGCTTTGAAAAATGTTTGGCTTACAGTGAGTGACCAATAAATACAATTATTATTATTATAACAAAGTCAGCAAATGGCAGACCTAGAATTCGAACCCACATCTATTACTATTTCAGGAAAGTGACAGTCTATGAAGTAACCTTATATCTACTTCTAACAGGGGCTAGGATATAGTGTTTTGGGGGACCTCCAGTATTTACCAGTCCAGAATTCTGAGGTGTAGAAAGCCTCCTGGTGGCAGAACTTGAGCATCTGGGTACTCCTGAGTTTAGTGTAACACCATGGTTCCCAAACTGTGTGCCAAGGTACACTGGGGCACTGCTGGGTATTCACAAGAGTGCCACAGAATGTTTAAAAGTTTTAAGGTAAACATCTTGAAATGGCAAAAGCTGTTACATAGCAAGGTAGTTCACAGTTTCAGCATTAGATCATATTATATTCCTCTCGTGGACATCATATCTTTGTGAAGCTGGGTTTTTGGTGGTTGCTGTGATCAAATGCAAGATCCACAGAAATCAATGTGGAACAGGAAATGAGGGTAGCAATGTTCTATCTGCTTCCAAGACTTGAGAAATTGTGCTGTGCCCAGTAGATGTAAATAATAATAAATAATTTGGTTAAGAATAAAAAAAACTTATTTCCTTTATCTGTATTACTTTTTAACATGAATATTATGTTGTTAAGACATAAACACTTAGTAAGTTGTTTGAATTTAACCAGGTTATCAACAGAACTGTCAGGTATTCATTTTGACTTGGGAGCATTGTGGAAACAGTTACTGAGGAGTGAGCCTGCCATGAACTGAGAAGTTTGCGCCTTTTGGTGTGATAGTTATGAGCGTGAAGTTTGGTATGAGGTAAACCCAAGATCAAACCTGACTCTGCCCTCTGTGACTTTGGACAAGTTGTTAACCTTTTGAATCTCCTCATCTGGAAGTGAGAATTATAATAGTTCCTACTTTATAGGGTTTTATGAAGACAAATTAAATCAATGTACACAAAATAGATGCGATGAGTTCTTAATAAATGTTAGCTTCAGTGGGGCTGCTGACAGATGTCCACTGAAGTGCAAATTTGCTAGTATAGGAGTTCAGTCTCGGCATGAAACGATGAAATGATGGAAAAGCGCTTTTAAGTGGCCAGATGCCGTGTGAGTACTCCAGGTGAAGATGATCTATCCTAGTGCCTGAGATTTTCACAATCACTGCATGGATATGCTTTGAATACTAATGTTGTTGATAGTTGAGACTAAATTTTATCATCTAATTTTATCATTCTTTTCCAAAAATGAAACAGCCAGCTATCTGCCCTAACATTGCTCTCTAAGGAAGTCCTTCTGGAGGTCAAAGAAGAACAAAAATATCAGATTTATTATATTAAAAAAAAGTGCCACCATAATTTTCTCTCCAGAAGGAATAATTACTATTGATATACAGTGTAATAGCAGCAAACAGCTTTGGTGATTGGTTAAATGTCTTCACTTCACTGGAGCCATTAATCAATCTTAGTGGCTATTTATTGCTTAGCAGACTATCACGCAATAAAGACAACCTTGAAATCAACTCACGCAGTAGCTTTGACAGACAAAAATTAATATTTAATACTGCATTACTAGCTGAGTTAAGATTGGGTCTCCTACAGCTGGTCAGCTGTAACAGCATAGCTGTGGAGTGCTCTGAGCAGGCCTTCACCTTCAGGGGCTTCCGACATAGCATGATTTTTAGCTCTTGTGGATGGTCTGATTTGGCAATGATTTGTGTGTCCTGAATTCCGTAGATCTGATGACCACCCAAAACATTAACCTACAAACATATTGTATATATAAATTGTCTGAGTGGTGATCATAATTGCTGCTATTGTTGGAAACCTCATAAATCATGTTATTTTGGGGGCAGGAGGCAGGGGACAGGAAGGTACACACTATATCCATATTTGACTATAAGACAAGCTAATTGTGACAACAAAAAATACAGTCCTTTATTATGATTTGGGTGCCTCTTCTATTCTAAGCTCCACTTTGCACAAAACTGATTCAAAATTTTAATCCTTTCTGATTATATGGAGCAAATCAGTGGTAGGAATGGAATTGAGGGAGCTCAGAAAAGTGTGATGGAAAAGATAATAGGCCGTTTAACTCTATTCCCTCACTTTAAGTCCTAGCCCATTCCCCTACTCAGTCTGTGAAAACTATGTACAAATGAACTGTTTGGTTTTCCCTAAAGTATGCATATGAATAATCATGCAAATAATGGCCAACAGTCATTGAATAAGTATGCCAGGCATTCCTATTTTCCTGATAATTATTTTATGGTAGCAGCAGTGTTGTTAGTCACGTTTTATGGATAAAGCAGCTGAATTTCAGAGACATGGTAAATTGCTCAAGATTATACAGTGAGCTACGATTTGTTCAGAATCTGGAATTTGATCAAGCCTGGATTCTGAATGCATAGACTTTCAAAAGGTGTACCAATGGATGGATTGCCTAAATGTTTTATGTGAAATGATCTGCAGGTCACACACATGTAACTCTTCTTAACTTCACATTAATAAACAAGTCAGAGTGTTACCTTAGAATGTTGAATATCAATTTCAAGTTAAACATGTAAGGCTGGTGAAAAAAACATTAAATTTGGGGGATGCCTTTGAATGTTTTCTCCTTGGCCTTTATCATATGTCCTTGAAGAATTAGGGACATAAATATGGCACAATATCATTGATTTAGGATTGTTATCCAATTGTTCCCACAGTGGGTACCAAGGACAGGGCAGCTATCAGTCCTTCCTGGATCATCGACCAAAAGCTCTGACTGAAGTACTCAAACATTCAGTGTCATCCAGCGTCACCTTAATAGAATGTCTTCTCTTTGTGTTCTTAAGATACCTGCCTTGTCTCATCAATTAGACTGTCAGTCTCTCCTTTTTTTTCTTCATTTTTCATATGGGCCTGAATCAACCTTTCCTCACGTACAGGTCATAACACATAAACTGCACACCCTTGATGCACCAACATGTCAGTTACAGGTTGCCCTGGCTGAACTAATTCTCTTCTTTGATAAATCTGGAGATTTGTGACACTGACACTCTTGCTTTCCTGAGAGGCAGAAGGTAATGTTGGTGATTCCTACCAGGCTGCTGTGAGGATAGCAGTGCCTCAGTAACATGAAGTGATTTCCTCCTCTTCGTGTTTTAGGTTCAATGGATCCGAAAGACTTCCTGAGGGAGGCACAGATAATGAAGAACCTAAGACATCCGAAGCTGATCCAGCTTTATGCTGTTTGCACTTTAGAAGACCCAATTTATATTATTACAGAGTTGATGAGACATGGAAGTCTGCAAGAATATCTCCAAAGTAAGCTAAAGACTTAATAAAAGGCTAAAAAAGAGGAATTTAGTTTAGCTAGTCCTATAAATGTCAATTTAGCAAGCCTTCTATAACCCAGAGGATATTCACTGTATGTATATCTGGGAGAATGAATGTCTTAACATTAGATGGCTCAACTACTTTTTAATAGGATATATACTGTGTACTCAAGGGGAGGAAAATATTTGTGTAGTGGAAGAACAAATTGTTCATGATAGACATATCAGAATTCTTAAATGTAATGTGGGGAATTTGAGGAGTAGATGTTTTGCATTATGCTTTGTTTCCCACAATAACTAATAAAACATTATCAGACATGGATTGATATTTTCTATGGCCCAGAATTAGGGGACATGGAATACTTTTTGGGGAAAGAGAGGAAGAAGTACCCTTGTTTTTTTGCCTTTGCAAAAAAGTGCAATGTTTGACAACATTATACTTGTTGGTGTTTAAAATACTTCCATTGTGAAGTAACATTAGAATTTCCAGACTAAAAATAAAAAGTATACTATTGCTTTATTTCTACATCTGCTTCCTGTTGTCAGAGAAGACTTACAGGCATTGTGAAATTTTGATGTCTATTGCAAATGAATAATTTAATAAGCAACAATATGATAAGCATTAAAATGAGATGTTCAAAGTAGTGGTGATCAAATACTGAGAAATTAATTCATACTTAAAAAAGAGACTTTTTTATACTTCTTTGAAATGTCAGAGTGGGATTCATAGAATGTATAGAGGTAAAGAGAGGTGAGAATAATGGAATAAAGACATATTAAATATAAAGAGTATTCTCTCATTTCAGGGTGACTTGTGAAGCTGGGGATATTAAATTGCAAAACTAGATAAAAAGAACAAGGAACGTAAGGCCTGTTAAATGCTGTTAAAAACAAAAAATCTATCTGGCTCCTTTTCATAAAGATATGTCAAATTTAATAGCATCAGAATGTGTTGCCCCCCCACAGAAAGACTAACCTCAGCCACTGACCCCTTTTGCCTTATTCCCATGGATGGACATACAGGAGCATCGTGGTCATCACAAACAAAAATGCTTTGCAGGGTCTCATAGCATTTGCACTGGTAGATTTAGCAGTCAGTTCTCATGCGTCCAACCCATTTGACTGATGTTTCCTTCTAGGAGCACTCCCTCCCTTTGGCTTCCGGGACACTTTACTTAGTGGATTTTCCTCCTATTTTTATTGCTGATGCTTTTCAGTCTATGCAATTTCCTCATCTCCCAGACCTCTTGATATCTTGGAATTCTCCAGGACTCTTTCACAACATCTCTAGTTCCCTTGAGAAGCTCAGTCAGTCTTAATGTTTAATAACATTTATGTATTAACTAATTTTCCCAAATTATGTCCCTCCATTACTTCAGAATCACACCTCCCCCCCCACACACACCCACACCCACACACACATACATGTTTATGGCTGCCTTCTTAACTTCTCCCCTTGACCTTCATATCAATCTGCATAATGCAGGTATTAGGTAGTAATTTCCCACCACCCCCAACCCAAATCCCAGAGGCTTAATACAACATTTACTTCCTGCTCATGTAACATGTGCAAAATAGACTGGTAAGTGGCTCAGGTGTTCTGATCACTTTGGCAAATGAAGGGGATGTGACTAGTCTTCTTCTGGCCCTTAAAGCCCTGACTAGCAGGGACAGAGGTAACTTCTGTGTCCTTTTCATTTGGTCAGATCAAGTAAAAGGAAATAGAGAAGTATATAATCCTCCACAGTGTTTAAAAGAGAAAAAATTGTTTGTGAACAGCCTTAATTACTACTATAGATGTCCTTTAGACATCTCAAAATGACACGCCTAAAGCTGATCTTACATTATCCCCAGTAATTCGCTACTCTTGGGGTCTTCCTTTTTTTGGCAATGTCAACACTTAGGCCTAATACCTTGGAGTCCTACATCTGACTGACAAACAAATCCCATTGGCTTGCTTTTCAAATATATCCAGGATTTTTCCATTTCTGGACATTCTCAGCTCTGTCCAAGCCACCGTCAACCCCTTATTCTGTAATAGCCTCCTAATCAGTCTCCCTCTTGATTTTGTCCCTTTCAGTCTCTTCTCAGCACAGTAGCTGGAGAGAACCTGCTAAGATGTCAACCAGATCATGTCCCTCCTCCAGCTCAGAACCTTCGGTGACTCCCTTTGTTTCTCTCTGCACAACCTGGAAGGTCTTGTGTAACTTGGCTATCTGCACAAGACCTTGTGCAGCCCCTCTGACTGCATCTCCCACAGCTTGCCCCTTGTTCACTTGGTGCCCACTGCACTGCCCTTTGTTGCTCTTCATATCTTCCAGACACATTTGCTTCAGGCCCTTCACAGTTGTTGTTTCATCCATCTGAACGTTTTCCCATCACTGGTCCATGTAGCTCACTTCTTCACTTTCTTATAGTCTTTACTCACACATTCCCATCATAGTGAGTTCTCAGTGGTCACCCTCTAAATTCTAAAATTTAATCTCCTTCTACTGACTTTTTCTATTATTTCCTGCTCTTTGTTTTCTCATCTTAGCTGTTAATCATCTTACAATGATGACCTACTTATATAGTTTATTTTTATGTTCTACAATACAACTCCATGAGGACAAAGATCTTGCTCTGTTTTAGTGCTTGCACACTGTCAGGCATGTAGAAGGTGTGCACTAATTATGTGGTGACTGACTGAATGAATAAATTAATGGATAGATTAAGCTGGGGTTATCCTGACCTTAATATAATTGGGATTTGGGCTTGAGCTTGTTTTGAGGCTCTTGATATCAGCTTGAAAAAATGCACTTACTACACTGCAAACTCCTTTGGCATTGAGGATTTCTGTGGCTTGATGTGTTTCACTTAGAGCTGGGCATGAACCCTGCCATCTTTTGGGTTGGGGCCTTTAAGGTCAAGTTTACCAAGGCCTTCATTTTCCAGGATACTTAATAGCTAGGAGGAGTAATAGGCTCATTACAGACAATTGCTTCTTAGTTAAGATGGGTTAAATTCAATGAGGTAATATTAAAATGAATCTGCCACTCTTAAACAGTCCATCATGATCAATATTAAGCTGAAAGACTCTTTAGTAATGGAACATAATTGAAAATATTTTCTTGCTACAGATGTAAATTGTCTTAGGTCTGTGAACTTTTATATCAGGTTTGACTTCTGGCCATTGTGTTAGAAGTGGGTTCTCGGTTTACTTAGGTCGTTCCTGGGCCACGGACTCTTTCAAAGTAGAAAAAGTGTTCTTACTCAATGTTTCCTTCACAATTGTGCCTGTCAAGAGAAACCTTTTTAAAACCACTAAAACAGGATTAGGTATTATATTTCATAGTTTAAATAACATACATATTTTTCTACAGAACCATCTTTGCAGTCCTTAAGCTTGGCTGAATATTTTTTTTTGTAATAATTTTCTCCAAAATGGGAGAGGCTTACCGAAAATCTTTAGCATTGAGTGTAATTGATACCAGGTATTTCATACTAAAATGTACAGAATAAATATGTGCATTTTCAAAAGTTTATTTGGGCACGTTTTCTTTCTAATAAATACTTATAGAGCATCTAACATATGCTAGAATATTTTCTTCCTCCCTTTCTCCTCCCTTCCTACTTTCCTTTCCTCCCCTCTTCCTTCCCTCCTTCCCCCTCCTTCCTTCTTTTCTTCCCTTTCTTTTTTCTTTTAAAGCACACTCTAGCAAGTTGTTTTCATTGAGATACTGTTTCAGTGACTACAACTGCATAACTACTTGCTGTTTGGATGCATGGAGGTCTCTCCATAGCCTCTGACTTTTGAGTGCTCAGGGATCATTTCTAAGTTGTAAGGATGAGTATAGACTAGTTCTTGAAAGTGTGAGATTTCAGCCTCAAACATACATGGATTTGAATCTCCACTCTGCGACTTATTATTTCCTCTGAGTAGCAGGAACCTCTATGAAATAGGGAGCTTAATAACACTACTTATTCATAGAGTTGTTCTGAGTATTAAATGAGGTGATTTACTGGAAATTAACCATATGGGACAGTGGTAGAAGAGGTACATATATGTTTAATTTTTTTCGTTAAAAACACTGTATAACACTCACTATATGCCAGGCAATTCTCTAAGTCCTGTACAAATATTAACTTAGTTCATTCTTCTAACAACCTCATGAAATACGTATTGTTAGTGTCATCCCTGTTTTATAGTGGAATAAACTGAGTGTAGAGAGGGTAAACAATTTTTCCAAGGTGGTTAAGCTGTAATTCAAACCCAGGAAATCTGGCTCTGTAGTACATGCTTTTAACCATACACACACCACTGATATTATTTTCCTGAATCAACCAGTATTTGTTATCGGTTGATGTGCAACCGATTGCCCCAAATCTTAATGGCTTAAAGCAAAGACATTTATTATATCAGCTTCTCTGGTCAGAAGTCCAGGTGCCACTGGGGTGGGTCTCCTGTCTCAGGGCTTCCACAGGCTGCCAGGGTCCAGGTGTTGGCAGGGGCTCCAGCCCTCTGAAGGCTGATGGGAGGCTACCACCAAGTGCTGTCGTGTGATTTCAGCAGGTGTCGGCTCCCCCATGGCTGTTGGGTTGAGGAGGTCAGTTTCTTGCTGGTCACTGGCTGGAGCTGCCCTGTGCTCCTTGTGGCATGGATCTGTCCTTAGGGCAGCCCACAGCGTGGCAGCTGGCTCCCTCAGAGTCAGTGAAGAGCATAGCAAGAGAGTAGAGTTCCAGCAAGATGGAGTCAGTGTTTTCTAACTTCTCTTGGGAGTGACACCCCATCACTTCTGCCATATTCTGTTTGTTCGAAGTGAGTCACTAGGTCTCAACTATACTCAATAGAAAGGGATTTCACAACAGTATGAATATCAGGAGGTGGAGAATATTGGGAGCCTTTTAGAAGCTGCCTACAGTGTAGCTTAGGACTACTCACCAGTTTTCTTAACTTTTTTACATTTCTTTCTTACTAAGTAAATTTGATATCATAAAGCATAGCTATTT